TAAGAGCACTGAAAGACAAACTCCATCACAGGAATTGTAAGTTGGTTATTTTAGCTCTGTTTTGAAAATCCAATATGAAAATGAATTTTTCTTAAATGTGTCCATCTCTGCTGTGCTTGTGAAGGAGCACAGGGGGGATCAAACCTCTCCCTGCTCATGGCACAGGGGGGATCAAACATCTCCCTGCTCACAGCACAGGGGGGTCAAACCTCTCCCTGCTCATGCTAAAGTAAGTTACAAACAGTGAGGATCCGACAGCAGCGCTGCTTTGGTGGAGGACAACATGCAAGGAGAAACCTGGTAAAACAGCTTAAATGGGGAATGGCTGATCTTTCAGGAAAAAAACCCTTCAATAAAAACCTCCCAAGTTACCCAGAAGTAGCAGAGAACTTACTTTTCCAAGGAACCACAGCTTCCTTGCTTCACCTCTTTATAGAGTTCACTAGAGAAGTTGCTGTCTCTAGAATTTATTCCTTTTTGTCTTCCAAAGTTGTTCAAACTCATACAAGGGCTGTCCTGGTTCCTGGCTGTTTGGTGTTTGATGGTGAAGAGGCATCTTGGTCCTTGTGCTTGAAACTTTGCTCTGTGGTCTCAGGATTTTCAAGAAGAAAGAGTCCTCTTAGTGGTTTTTGACAGTAAATACAATCCTTGTTGCAATATTGTCTAGTGGAAGGTGTCCCTGCTGCTGGCAGGGGGGTTGGAACTGGATGAGCTTGAAGGTCCCTTCCAACCCAAACCATTCTATGATTCTATGAAATGCAGTATTTTCTAATGCCAAAGGCTAATTTAATGCTGATAATATAAAAACTTGAAAAAAATAAAATTGAGGGACAGAAGTTAATGAAAATGTCACTGGTCAGATGAGGTCAAGAAAAGGCTCTGACGTTCCGTTAACATGAGGTTCATCTTCAAGACCTTTGGTAGATGCAGGTCCTGTGAGTATAAACAGCACTATGGAAAAGTCAGAGGGATTCAGTGGACACATCTGTGCGTGGAACTGTTGCATCCATCTCATCATTTGCTGCAGTGGAAGATGTATCTGTAACATACAGTAAATTCTACTGGAATTTATCATTTCCCTCCTGTGGAACTCCCACTGAGATATTATAACGAAACCAGAATGGTTTATGGGAATAGTACTGTCTTAATGCTTCTTGGAAAACCAAGGAAATGCTAAATATTGTGGTAGCTCTCCAGTTAATTCCCACACCTGGAAGGGAGTGATGAACTGGAGAATTAGTGTTTGGGCTGATGCTGGTGTTGATCAAGAGGAAATGGTCAAGTCAGTGCTCGTTGGAAAGTAATGTGTGTGCATAGATAGACATATAAATACATATATATAAATATATATAAATCCACCTATCCATTTAATATGTAATAACATATATATGCACATATAAATACATCTATGTGTATAATTTTCCTCTTGAGTACACAGAAAGCTGGCACTAGTCTGGGCTTAGAGAAATTCTTACTTTAAATATATTCAACGCCGTTTTGCAGATCAAAAATCCTGTCTTATAAGGGTCGTCTTGAGAGAGAGATATATATTTTTAGAATGCAAATAACTTGGTTTTATATAAGAACCAAGTACCAGAATTGAATCTATCATTCTCAGAAACACATCTGGGACCGTGGATTCCTCATTCACAGTGTGGAACACCAAGATTTGTCCTTTTTCCAGACATCATGAATAAAGCAGCAGTGACAAGACTTTATTTTTATTTAACCCAGTTGTTCTTTATATTAAAAAACCAGTGTTTTAGCAAGCCTTGCTACCTCACTTGAATGGGCAGAATAAGTTTCTCTAATTACATCCCTTTTTAGGGGGGTACATTTGAAACCAGTCGTTCACTCTGCAAGGAACACTATTTGATTGCATTTTAATTAGAATTTCTGTAATGATTTGTACAGCAGCTACGTAAGCAGCAACAGTGCACAACTAAACGAGTATTAATTTAGAAGTAATTTGCATTGTCACTGTTGGTCCTGGCTGTAAATAACAGCAGTGCTGTAGTAATTCAGCATAGGAATTAAAGGAATTTTGGCCAGATTTCTGAGAAGTTTTACCCTCTAAAACCGATATTACTTGAGGGTTAAGGATTGATTTTAATGATAAACATCCTGTGCCTTCACAAGTAAGTGGGAGATGTTAGAGAAGCTGGGTATGTCATTCTATGAAATGAGGAGGAAACAAACCTGGATCCCCTGGATATATTACTTCATCACTTTAAAACTCCTTTCCTGTGTTGTACTCCTTAAATCTGTGAAGTATGGTGCGATGAAATCTCTTTTCATAAGAGCAGCGAGGGAATAAACCGATTTAACACAGTCCCTTTGTGGGTTTAAATTACCTCTTTTTACTGTGGAAATCCTGAATTCTTTTCTTTTTCTGCAGTCAAATGAAAACCCACCTCTCCATTTAACATGGAATAAGTTTCTCTCCTGCACTGATATTTCTAGATATTTTTATTTTTGATGACTGGTGAGACATAATGCGATGGTTCTCTGAAAATACTCTGCTTTTCTTTCTCAGTTCTCTTCAGCACATTTAAAGTTTGTAAAAAAAAAAAACAAAAAAAAACCCCAAACCCCCCCAAAAAAACCTGAAATATTTCACCAGTCGAACCCAAATTGCATCATCTCTTGCTCTTTCCTGCAGCTGTAGGATGAACATAGGAAATGCTTCGCACTGCTCCAAATTCTCTATTTTCCAAGGTGTAGCAGAACCTAAATAAAATAAAACCCGTGTATAATAGCCTAGCCAGGACCTTTTCCTGGAGGCTGTTTCAAACCATGGGTAATAGGGTTGTAAAAAGTGTGGTGATGGTGTTTTCCCCTTCCCTCTCTCCAATCCCCTGCTAATCCAGATGGCTTAATTAATTTTGAATTTTATAGCTAGGGGTGAAGTGTGTCAGAAAAGTCGTTCCCTATTTAAAAGTGAATTATGCTTTTGTGTAAAAAAAAGAGCAGAGCTTATTTGTTGAGGTCATCCTGAAAGCATCATCACTAAAAATGATCTGCTGATGCAGAAAATTGGATTTATTCTTATGCTAGCGTTTCCATAAAAAATACAATTATATATAAATTTATGTTCTCTAAAAGCTTGTAGTAAACTGGGCTTGGAGAAAATAAGACACTTATCTTTTTAAAGTCCAGTTTTAAATGACCAGATGGTGCTTACAGTATGGAAGCATAAAAAGTGGTGAGAGATAATTGATTATTTCCATTTGAAAAAGCGGGGAAAATGGAATTGGAGGTGAAATTCCTTTTAATTGCTGCGTGGTTAACTCCTGCCAATCAGCAGAACATCTGCAACAGGCTGGAGCATCTTGTTGAAGTCACCACTGGCTGGATCCAGAGCTCCCCAGGGATGTTAGCTGGGGCTGCAGTTGAGCCAAAGGGTTTAGAATTGAACTCAGTGGGCTCTGATACTGCAGCTTAGCAGAGAAACTAAATTAAACTTTGATTTAATAAGGATTTTATGAAGTGTATCTTCAGTGTTCCTGCCTATTTGAAAAACCCCCACGTCTTCTGTGTGAAGGACTTTGTTCCTCAGCAAAAGTAGGGTCTTTTGAGCAATCATTTCCACTTCTGGATTTATTTCTTTGCTGCTCAGCCTCGTTCCTTTCCAGTGCTGTTGGAACACACTTCCTGCAGCAGGAGCTTCATTTTGCAGGAAAAGAGAATAAAATAAAAAAACCCAAGAAGAGGGTTTACATAGTTTCTGCTTTCTCCTGGGGCAGAGGGACATGTGAGTCCCCAAGCATGTCCATATCCCCAGGGACAATCCTGTACTTTCCCAGTCCTTTCTGTGCTGCTTTGGGAGGCTCCTGGCTGGGGGCTGCTGGCACGGTCCCCACTGGATTTCTGGCTATAAAAGATCTTCCTTACCAGCCCGCTTCCTCCTCATCATACACATTATTGGTTTAAAAGTGCATTTGAGGTGCTTTAACATCAAGAATTGATCCAGTCTTGAGCGTTGAGTTTCTTCTGAGAAAATGTTTATATCTTGTGCTTCAAAAAAAAAAAAAGGGGGGGTGGGTAAAAATAGCTGTTTTTATGTCGCTATCTCAGTGATTTTATGTATCTCAGTGATTTCAGCTGTGTGAGCTATGAATATTTCTAGGCTTCAGGTTTTAATGCGGGGTTTGTTTTGTTGGCAATCCCTCTTTCAGGGTGCTGGGTAGGTGGTGGTTATATTCTGCTGAGGATTTCTCCTCCTCTTGTTGTGCTGAGGCTGGTTCTCGAGAGCTTGTTCACTGATTCCCAGTGGTTGCTGAGCATCTCATTAACATGGAGCTTTTAATTTAGAAGCAGTCGCCCTGCGAGCGCCGCTGGTTCTTTGCGTTTGGTGAAACAATCTGTTGTCGCAGCCGGGAGGTGAATTATGATTTGGTACGTTTGATATCGTTGCTTATGGAGAGCAGCTGGAAAAACCCATGTTCTCTTCTAGGTGACCTGCTTGTCCCCTTCCCACCCAACACCATCGTGGTGG